GGACAATGGACCCGACCTGTCGGATAACCCAAATCTGTCGGCGGACTCCGGCAGTTACCGCTGCTCGTTGCCAAGATGAGTGGTCGACACAAGTCCATCGGTGGGGATTCTGAGGTCGGGACATGCAGTTTCGGCACAATAAATGATCGCGTCCACGCTGCCTTCCGCATACAATTGTAATGAGAAATGTTTCCCTGGGAGAACTACAAATCAGCACCTCGGAATCGATGCCAGTTCGCATTTTGTTACAAATGGGAAGAGAAATATCATATGGATATCTGTGAATGTGTGAGGCACCATTCCTTCTTCCGCACCGTAGAATCGTACTGAAATCTCTCAATTCCGTAACATCAGCGCAATTCTAAATTCGAAGCAATGATTTATTGGAATCTGCGATACATATGTAGATGCCATTCTTTGTAATCAGATAGGATATACTTCAGCAGCTGTAGTTTTAATAGCTGCTATGATTTCCTCATACAATCCATCATAAATCATCATATACATCTTTTTATTTCCGCTTTGGTTGGTTAGCAAGATAAGTGACTTGCGCGGATCCGCGTCCTTTAAAGTCATGTCATATGATTTAAGGAACGGCCGGCGGTCGACTTTATGAAAGCATCGATATCCGGATTCCGGAATGCTATTTTTAATCCCGTGATATATCGACTGCATGCAACCAGGTTCAAGTTAATCGTGAAATATTATTACATTACGGAGAGCGCACATCGTCGTTAAATAATGTCGAATAAAAAAAAAAAGAACAAATCATGAAGCAGGAAAAAAATTGTATGCATCATTTGCCGTATCTGTGAACAAAGAAGACATTCGCGAAATTGTTGATTGTGTCCGGTAGAATTACGAGATATCATTGAGACATTAATCTTTCACAAGATCCCTCTCTCTTATTGTGGTTATCGATTTATCGAACGACACATACAAGAGGAGTTGAAATTAATGTCTGGAGGCGGAAGTGGACCCATTACGACGACCAAATCCATGGCTTCAATTCAACCACGACGATCGTCAAGACAAAGGACCCATGTCCCTCAAAGACGCCAAGTCAGATATCCCGTTGGGTTTCCTTCTCCCCGCACCTGCGTTCGATGTTAAACCACATCTCATGCTAATTACGCTAGTTTACAAAACCACATATTTCATGCTTCCCTCATATGTAATCTCATTGCGCATTTCGAGAAAATTACAATGGGAATATGAGGAATTATGATGTTTTCGGTTCTCTAACAGATCTTACGATAATATATAATCTAGAAAATTGTCTACTAGAATATTTCGTATACACTCCAGAGTGATTGTAAATATAAATATAATACTTATTTCAAATTTTTATTACACAATAGAAATTTATTTCAAAGAATGCAGAAATACATACAAGGCAAGATAATAGTCGGACTTTCTGATAAAAATTCTTTTTAATGAAGATGGTCGATAATGACATTTTAAAAATCGTGTATTTATCTTCTCTTTGTCTCGATTGTTATCTTGCCTTATATGCATTTTTGCATTATTTAAAATAAATTTCTAAAGATATTATCATACATCTTTACATGTAATCTTTTATAAAGATAAAAAATGCTGCCTCTGAATTACAATTTCAAAATGTAAATTGAATAGAATATTAACTCTATTCAAATGCAAATCTGATATCGTTTATTTAAAGATTGATCGATTAAAGTGACTGTACGCAAACAAAACAAATAATCATTTTACTCTCGAATTTATTTTCTGGTCGAGACATTTCTTCATGCACAACTCATGGACTTATTCAGTCTTCTTCCCAATTCAAGTTTTATCTCGGCACGAAATGGCTTTTCCGATGCAATAAAGTGCGCCGCGTTAATTATCGGAATTTCGAAGGGTAATTCATTAATATTGCTCTCTAGCGATGGTGTGCGAATCGATACCGCTGCCGCAAGAAAGAAAATGAGAGAGAGAGAGAGAGGAGGGGGTGGAGAAAGGGGAGAAAAGAGAATGATTCCTCTCCTATAAAAAAAATCAACAACTAGATGTTGATAATCGTCATGCTTATCATGACACCTTTCGTAACATGCTTTCGTGCATTCCCGATGTCAGTGTTGCATTGACCACGGACAGGAAAAAATGCTCTCAGACACTGATAGCATAGTGTGCGACTTCGTAGAGAACGCCGCGGTACTCGCTCGGCAGCTCTATCAAAATTACTTCGCGGCGTTCGACTTTTCGTCGTCATCAATCTTTCCCGGTTTGACTGCTAACGCGATAATGCAGTTACGGCATGCACCAGGATGGGGTGGATATATACAGACCCGGTCAGCCCGTCGAATTCGTCATAAATAATTGAATTAAAAGCAACGACGTCATAAGTGAATTTGCGGATCGTTCAATCGGCGAATTCTGAGTGATTTTATCTAACCGATTCGCGACAGTCTCGTTCACGGCATTTGAGATTTCAATTGTTTTTTTTTTTTTATCTCGGACAGAGTATCGGAAATAATCGCTCTCTTGAGATTGTTGCGTTTATCCGGAAATAACGTGCTGACTTTTTGATTATTATTTATGCCTAATTGACTGTTACGAATATATCATATGTAATGCATGTTTCCTACTATCATATGCAATGCATACTTCAGACTATCTTTAAAATATATAACAAGTACTGGTTTTTATACAATAAATTATTACAAAATTTTGAAAATATAATTATAATTATAATAAAAATATGTACATGATTCTTCAGTGATTAATAAAATTATATATACAATAATAACGAAATAAATATGTTAAGTTTTCCTTTGGCATCATAAATCCTTCAGTCTGTTTAATAAGTATCATTTGATTACTAATTATTATTAACGTATATATAGCGTATATTAAAATAAACAGTAAATTATAAATTGGAAATTTATGTATGAACTGATTTCTCGTTAATATAGTAATTGACACACATTTTATCTTCGGTTTACTTATAGGCAAGGAAATACGATTTCTCTGAAAAATTCAGTAATCTTTTCATTAATCTTTCAATAAATCTTAATAAAATGGATCATAAAACGGATCATGATATTATAACGTTTATTTTATTATTCTTACAAAATACATCGCTAGAAAGTAATTTTAAAATCATAAGATATTATGTTTTCTCCACTCTCCATAAGCTATTGAAGTCAAATTAGATAAGTCATATAAGCTGATATTTTCTCATTTGAAATTATATGAACAAAGTTTGTAAATTACTTAACGATCAAATAACACTCATTAATAATATAATTTAATTATTTTAACTTGTAATTTATCATTTAAATTTCGTTAAAATTGAGAATTTCGATGTTTTACAAAAATAAACGAGTTCATTGTGAAACATGAAATTTTGCGATGTAAGCGCGATATCTTGTATTACGATTTCTAAACCGTAAATTAAACAAAATGATGGTCGAATTATACATATATTATAAAATAATAGCAAACAAATTAATTAATTGCTCCGATAAACATTTCCGAAATTGGAAATCCAAATAAACTTCATAAATACAGATATACTATTGCCATTGTTGAAAAAGAAATAGTATATCCTCAGTGGAAGTTAAATTTTATATAATGGAGATTGCGTTGCAAACATATCGATCATATATCAAAGTCTGTTGGATTTGACGTCGAGATGAAGGTTTAAAATAGAAAGTTCGGAAACACCATTGTTGTTCAATAATATTGAACAATGACCGACTTTCGGTCATTGACATTCGATCCTATAAAGTCTACGATGATGAAAGCTACGATGGCTGATACTGTGTGAGCTTAGTTCGCTACTGTTACGTGAAAGTTCCTAAGTTCCCGTACCAAATCGTCGTCGCTACAAGGATGTCTTTTCGAATTGGGGCAGATTTGTCGCGGTCATCGACTTTTTGCCTGCATCAATCTTGCACGTTCCCGCGAGCGATTTAACGTATCAATGCCAAATATAAGATGATGCAGTAGTGACCTGTAGAAGAGATGTCTCTAGCACCGTTTTTTTGCTCTTCCGTCTTATGGTATTATGAGATATCGACGGTCAATCGAAATAAGGACGACGAGGGATAAAATCGATCTTTCGGTGGAAAGTCGGAAGTTGGATAAAGACATCTCAAGCAGGTGCCATTACTGCATCTATCCAATACGAACTCGTCGTTTCTGTGGAATCGCATACCGATTGCCATGCTCTCAGCAGGATTCAATGCGTCGCGATCATCGATCGCCTTACCACTTCGAAGCGTCAGAGAGGATGTGCGAAAGGAGGCCATTACGCTCGTGTACATGAATAAATTTGTATGGAGTTGTTCTATGGTTACACCGACAAGATTAACCATGTACTACGTTCGTGTTGCTATTGCGTAGACATTAGCATAACTTCTCATACGTTATCCCTATGTAAATGATTTACAATAAAGTGTCATAAAATAGAAGCGTTTTCCCTGAATCTAAAAGATACTAAAATATATTGTATTACTCTAAGTAATTCATTGGGATTCATCGGGAAATATTATTAATAAAAATTTAAAAAAATATATCGATTATGACAATTTGATATTTTTACTGAACTTTATAAATGTTCTACCGTTTTCTCGATTCTTCAAGAAACGAGTGACATACTGAGTTAATATTTTTGGTAATTAAACATACGTATAATTAAATATTCGCATCAATGAATAATTATTTCAAATAAATTTGTTGCGTCTTTGAGTACGTAAATATATTGAAATTTATTTCGCCTTGTAGATGTCATAGCTCTACATGCAAATATAAATTTTAAGTCACGTCTTTCTTTATGAGATGTACAGAGAAGCACGAAAAGGACCTCGAAAAGAGAATCTACCAAAAGAGGCATAATAATCATCCCAGAGAAATCAATTCATCGGTACTTGAAAGCACCGATTACGACTCGATTCGCCTATATTCGTTGAAAATCGTCGCTTCTTTTAAGAATTTCTCGCAACGGCGCAAAGAATTACACATAGTTGCTTTCTTACCTCGGCATCGGAAACGGTCCTCTCCGCCAAATTGCGAACTTTGCAGTGCAGGAAGGCAGTGCCGCCCAATTGCACCGTGACGTTAGAAACGGTGTTGTTGTCGTTCGCTTCGTTCACTCTCTGCAATTCGTCGAGATTGCTGAACCAAAGGGCCTTCCAATCCGACGGGATGTTGTAGGGCACGCGTCGATCTAAGAGAAGAAAGATGACCAGCGGGTATAATCACGGTAATTTAATTAAGTCGATTGTCTTGGCGAGGGGGAAACTCGACAAACGACGCCGCAATTACAGAGCAAGGCTATCGCCAGCTTCGCCGCCGGCAGCAAACTTTTTTATCAAGACAAAGGAAAATAAAAGTTAAAGGCGGTGGAACGATGGCAGAAAACAAACGCGGAACTGAGCCTGAATTCCGCTTGTTTTACTCCGACCCTCGTGAATTAGAAACTACTTTCCACGCTCGGGCCCTTTCTGAATTACCCTTGTTATTAAATTTTTTAAGAAGACGACCTGTGTTCTCGCATGGCTCTGCTCATTTCTTTCGATGTAAATCACCGGGGAAATGTACTGTGCAAGTTATGGGGTAGTTTGCACATCGCCATAACGACGTTTTGTGGTATTATTTGAATAGCGTATATGTAAAAATACGGAAAAAAGTACTTGAGTTTCGAATTAAATTTTATTTACGAAAATTTTTATATGAACTAAGTGAGAGAATATAATCTCTATTCCATTCACTCACAAAAATAAAACGTATCTTATAGATATACCTAGGTATAAAATATCCGTAAATAAACGAAAAAAAATTAATTCTAACATTGAGCCTTATTATTATTTTTAATAAGAATTAATTATTTTTAAATAATATATTTATTACAAAAAAAAATCGATTTATTTGTTATTTTTCCATAGCTAAGTAGTTGAATAATATACTAGGTATAATATATATAGTATTATATAAAATAGTGCATACTTGGTGAATTTTGCAGCGAGTTGTCATAAAAATGGCCCATACACACATTTCACCACAAGTTTTTATTTGCATTAAAAAAATTTGTTCCTGCTAATTCTAATTCTTGCTTTTCGCATTCTTTGTCCATTAAGAAAAATGCATATATATAGCAGAGTTTTATTTACTTGATCGCTATACATGATGCATATCCGCGATATCGAAAGCAATTATATTTTGATTGCGGTCTTTTGCATCGTTTAAATAATGTGAGTGCGCGCCTCACCACACTGCTTTGACAAACGAAATTCCCGGTATTTGTGATGCAGTCGAAAGAGCAAAAGACGCAAAAGAATTTTTTTCCCATGCGCGCACGCTTTGTTAAAATTTTCATGGATACGACCTATTTCCGGGCAGCGTAGGTGATTTAGGATGTTTGCCCTCGACAGCAGATTACGATTCAAGGAGACTGCGCTGCTGGTATGGCAAGCTCGAATGTGCCTGCTTCTCGTCCTGACCTCATTTGAATAATCCATGGATACGTAACGGACGTACATGCCTTTTACGCCATGCGAACGCGTTCGTATAAAAAAAAAGGAGAAGAAAAGGAAAAAAAAGATATGCGTGGCTGGGCGCATACGGGATGCGCTCTTGAAAACGCGACGGTTCATGTCGCATTTGCAAAACTTTATTCATGTTACTTTCGGAATTACTACGAACCGAATCTTTCAACACTCGTATAGTTACGAGTAAAACAAAGAAACTTCCGAATCGAGTTTCCGCTACATGGAAAAAGAGATTGCAAATTTCTATCAAATATAAATGTGTATCATTTTTTTCCCATTATTTAAAGAAAAAAAAGAAAATTTATAAGATAGATTATTAGGACTGGTATTTACAGTGGGCCTTTTATTTAAAAGTGTCTTAATTAATGTCTTAAAATGTTAATACTACTTTATGATTGGTTAACACTATACTATTAAGACGGTCTTATGTGTAAAAACTGACTAGGAACACTGATCCATATCATTTAAGAGGCACAATGCAGATCATATATTCTACTTCGTCATTATTTTATCCTATATATATATATATATACATTCACACATCGCGTATAAGTATATTCAATTTTGATTGATTAAATCTTATTCAGTTTGAACAACCAAAAGACTGAATTTTTTTTAGATTCTTAAATTTGAAAGCTTTATGTAGGTCAAATTAACCTAATTCCAGATATTGACATCTTCGACAAGTAATGTAACAGTTCTAAGGTAGAAATCAGATTTTCGATAAGTCTTGAGTAAGAAATCAGATATGATTATCTAAATGAAGTAGTTATTAAAAGTTATAAAATTGTATAACGCTCCCTCTCTCTTTCTCTTTCTTCCAAAAGAAAATAAATCTAAAATTATAAATGTGAAAAGTATTGAATTTCAATATGATTCTTTGTTTAATCGAAACTACAGAATGCAGAATAAAATGTGAATATTTCTCATTGCCAGAGGTAATACAAATAAAAGAAATATCTTTTTAATGTATTTCTGACCATTTTGTCTTGCGTTACGCATTCTATTGTTGTTCATACAAAACCGAAAATTTATTATCACGAAATGGTAACAATGCGGTGTAAAATCGTTCCCTTGTTAAGTGCATTCGGTGAAGTGTGCGCGAAATAAGATACGCTTTGTATCTTTGTACAAATATCTTTAATTCACGAAAACAGGTATATTATACGAAGGAAAGTTCAACTCGCATGATCCGTGTGAGGAAGGCATCCACGTTACCACTCTCACGTGGGTCTTCCTTTCACCGGGGATTCGATTCAGCCGTGGAAAAGTTCGGCATTCTAAACGCCTTGTATCTCGAGTCTATCTTGTATATATAGGTGTGGCGGCAAATCGAGTTCTGGAAGCCTGAAAGTAGCGAGCGCGTGTTTGGCCGCTACTCGTATTCATCAAAGTATCGAGGCGGAACTGGAAATACGAGGGCTTCCATGGATGCCAAATTTCGGAAAGTCTTTTAACCGCTTGTAAAAAGAAATGGCAAATAAACGGGAAATTTAATCTCCGGACGTAAAGTTAGGTGAAGTTAAACAGAAACTTCTCGTTAAATGCGTCATTTGATGAGAGAAGGAGGAAAAATATATTTCCAGAAATAATATATAAATCACATTGCCAGTTACTTAAAATTGCTATTACATGCACATGCGGTCGTCGCAATCTGACGCTAATCTCATTTTAAACAACGTATGGTGTTTATTTATAGCCTTCCACGTTGTTCTGCATATCGTGTCAGTTACTCAATTTTGCGTGCATCGAATGTTGTACCTGTTTCACGATAACGAAGTTTCAACACTTTATTTAACCAAAAGCAACTCGAATTATTTAGATCGAAGCATCAGGTATTCGCTGCTGCGAGTTTCCGTTGTCTAATTTAATGCTAGCAAACATCATTGTGTACGGTATAATGAATGAAAATAATTAATTACAACGCTACGGTAATGCAGAATGTACGATTGTTGCGGACTCCGTGTTCAGCATCCATCATGTAGTAATCCCCCACGGTAAATTATCAGGTAAATTATGGAGTACAGATTTGTATGGGTGTGTTTGTGCGTCGAGCATTGGGGAATTCACTTTTCGTTTTAAGCACTTCAAAGATTCGAAGCAATGAAAACTGGCTCCATTACTACGTTATCAATCCATGCCGGATAGAATCTTTCCATTAACCCCAGAACGAATCTAGCGTACGAAGGTTTTACGTACAGTTTACTATTCGCTAGTTGGATGTTGCACTCCGTAATGGACAGTTCTAAAAAACAAACCTCTAAAATCGTTTCTAAAAACAATAGAATCCTTTATGTGAAAAAAAATGTTGTTTGATGTTCGCATTTTGCAACAGAAATTTATATATTTCCGACATGTTCCTAAATTGCTAGATTATATTGATATTTTACTTCAGTATAATAATTAAATTAATGAACCAATTTAGTTACTCAACAGAGAGAAAACATTTACATAATTTACTAAAAACAAGTTATGTAAATATTTTATAATTTCAAACATTTTGTTTTGTCGTTCTAATATATTATTTAATATTAACTTAACCCATTAATTTATTACTATTATACCGAAGCAAAATATAAAAATAGTTTAACAGTCGATAAACATGCCGGAAACATTTAAATCACTTTCTATTGTAAAATACAAACGTCGAAAAGCATTTTATTGTTTAAATAATTAAGTATATTGAAGTAATTGAAAAATTTTCGAATTTTCTATGCATGAGTCTCAAGAATGGGGAACGTCGGAGAATCTAAAGTCTAAACTAACTGATAACGACTATACAAGTAAATAGACGAAGCTGTGCACTTACAGCATCATAAAAAGAAATAAAAGAAAAAAGTAACAGTAATTTATTCTTACTTCAAGTACAATGTTATTTGCTGTACGACTGCGCACGACTTGACTTGTCGGTTGGTTGTCCATGTTGGAAAGCATAATGGAGGCCTCTGGAAAACAAAGGGATGCGCGTTCTGCCATATAGTAAAAGGGGTAAGTGGGCCGCGCGCGCGGATGCATATACGCAGACAGAAGCAATCGGGGCGCCGAAATTCGCGAATTCCTGAAAAACACGTTCGCTCAGTTGCGGACAAAGGATCCGTGCGCGTGTGGCTGAGCGCTTCACGGGCACGCTTTGTGTGCCCCCTGCGCTTATTTTATCGAACGTGTAATTTAGCCCTGCTGACTCCGTGCACGCATATCTCTCTCTCTCTCTCTCTCTCTCTCTCTCTGTCTTTTTCCCTCCCCCTCCTGCTCCTAAAGCCCTCCTCTTTGCGGGCGTGACAGTCAAGCTGGGGCTTGTTAGTGTTTGGTCGATTTTGGTCGTGTCACCCCAACAAAAATGGAGCACATAGTCACTGCCCGAAGCCTTATCATATTTTCAACGCAACTCGAAAAAAGTCTTACATATTCTGGAAATAAAAAAGAAAAAAGGAAACAAAAGTAGAAATATTGGTTCAATCTCAGAAAGATCTGCACTCGGTTTTTCCACCATCAGGATTTCATCCGGCAGACGGAATTCAAAATATAGAGTCCGCCTCGTGATAGCTTCCTGCTCGTTAGGAAATCAATAAACGGTTTCATGCATCTGACAGAGTATTCTTTTTTCCTTCTGTTTCATGTCGTTCGATCAACTATATGTTCCATCGACGTCGACAAAGTAAGACGACGAGTAAAGCAACGA